TGTATCCCAAGCAGGCGTGATGCGGAATCTGCTATTTCTCCCGAATATCACGTAAAGCAGTGAGAACTGGTCTTCAGTTAATTTACCTGGTAAAATAAAGTTTAAATGAATGACATAAATGCTGTAATAGTACACGTAAGTTAGTGGTTTATTAATTGTTAGTTACTGTAATGTTGCGCTGCTTTATTTGGTTAATCGTCCAGTCTGTGAAGAAGGCATTCAAGTAAGAATTGCACTGTAGTATGACTCATTTCCTGGCGCTTACAATTTATATTAGGTCAGCGTTCACGGTTCGACTTCTGATATTCAGATCGCGTTCAGATCAAACTGGTTTGTTCGACTTTCAAGAAATTCGAGTTCTAGTGAGTTCGAGAACCGAGGTACCAGGTACTACAAGGAAATTTATGAAAGAAAATTTCTAATAATTGAAGTCTATGTTGTTGTGTGTGCCCTGTGATGTGTCTCTTCATCCAGAGGGTTCCCCAGCCCTGTGCCCTGCTGTGTTTCCTGGAATAGGCTCCAAGCCCCCTGAAACAGCCCCCTCGCCCCTCCCTCCAGTAGGTGGACAATAGGTGGATGTTTACTTAGTTTTTTTAACCACTAGGGGGCAATAATACATTGCAATATTACTGTAATACTGTGTTTAAAAATGGTATAAAACTAAGTAAATCTAAGTTTACTAAATTGTTATATTGGCTTACATATTGTACACTAAAATATGATCCTAAAATTGTAGCAGATATGTTTCAGGCACTGACGAATTCCAAATGAAATGAAATAAATTATTAGACAAAGCCATCACATTAACCCTTATGCTGGTTCATTTTGAGATGTATTTCTCTAAATGTATAATGTTTACACAGTTTTTGATATATATGTATATATATATAATATCTTGATGAAGGCTCTATCAATATATTTGTACATACCGCACACATAAAATAGGTCAGGTAGCAAGTTTGGCTGCTCCTTGAAGAGGCCCAGGGTTATTACACACCATAATTAAATGCAGTGACTGGAAATAATTGCTTTTAATATGCATGTACTTTGGTATATTCAACTTTCATTTAGCTTCCTTGGTATGTCTTGAAAACATGCAGTAATAAGTAGTCAGTAAATGTCATGTAGTAGTTTCCAAGGAGTCCCCAGTAGAACACAGTTTCAGATATTTTGAAGAATTTTGAGGAATAATGCTTAATGGCCCTTAGAGTTTCATTACTGCAAGATGTACCTTATAAAGGATAAAATACATAACTGGCTTCACAGTATTCTATTATTACACATATTCAAAGAGTAACTGTGAGTAAAACTGACCGTGGCAGCTGCTTTTTCTTCTGATGACTGCTCACCCCTGCCTGCCCCCATCAAGCACACATTATGGTGCTGGGCAGGTTCCTCTGGGCTTCTCTTCTGCTTTCAAGTCAGAAGAAATCTTTTTACGACTTTATGAAACCACAGAACAAATATCTACAGACTAGCACATACTTTGCCAGCTGCAAGGATTCTCATACAAATCTGAGAGGTCCAGTTAGCACTGATAATGTCCTGTGGTGTTGAACATGAATTTAAGTCGACGAAAACATCTATTTCTGGATATGTGGTAGGTGTGTGTACCGAGTTCAGAGGAGATTCTATGCCAACAAAACAATACACTGTATGTATGACTGGTAAAAATATCAGATCAAATGGTTAATTTGGCATCCTTGTGTCCCATGTTAGTCTGTACCAGCACTGTTAAGTCCCATTGATATATTGCTATAATTGATGTGCCTTTAATATTTTGAGGTTGATCCATAATATGAACAGTTGAATAGTTGATGTGGGTATTACAGGCTTTTAAAACAAACTCCACATGCTTAATGCTCAGTTAGTTTCATCATAAACGAATAGATTCATATGTCAATCATGACATAATCTACATAATCTGGGTCCTTTGGGAATAGGAGGTGAATAAAGTAGGTGATAAAAAGCTGGTTTTACCTCAGGCCTATTCATCATTTCTTAGGGGCCACTTGGGTCATTAGATCTGGTGCTGCCTGCAAAACTCATCAAATCGAGAGACCAAAGACAGAGAGAGAAAAAATAATATACTGAGGAAAGTAAAATCCAGTTGTTTTTTTTTGTCTCTGTGAATGGCTTAAATTATCACCTTTAAACATATATTACCTTTGAATTTTACTTTGGATGATGGAGAATTGATCAAATTACTGATTAGGCCAGCTGATGGAGATGAATGCCACTGTGAGTACAAGACAGATCTGTGATGGTGTGCATTGCCTTCACCAGCAATATTTTCATCATTTAGATGTCAAGGTCTCAATGACAAACTTCCTTTGTTGGATCTCTTTTAGGAAAAAAATGACAAAGGTTACTGTTGGATTATTAAATCTTGTCACATAATAAATGATATCTTTAAGATGCTTTTGACAAAATACAAGAACAACTTTGTCATCTACAACTCAGTTTAAATGCAGACAAAACAAAACTAATGTTCTTCACTTCTAAAACGGATAGATTAACATTAGCTGGAAAAATTTTAACAAGAGATGGTCAACAAATAGAATTGGTGTCTAATTTTAAATATCTAGGACTTTTAATTGATGACCACCTGTCTTGTAAGGAACACATTAAGTATGTAACAAAAAAGCTGAAATCTCTTTTAGGATTCTATTATAGAAACAAATCTGGCTTTTCTTTCTATGTAAAATTAAAACTAGTTGAATCGACGTTTTTACCTGTGACTATGGTGATGTACTGTATATGCATGCATCTGCTCATTGTTTATGCATGTTAGATAGTGTGTATCATGGAGCACTGAGGTTTATTTCAAACAGCAGTTCTCTTACTCATCACTGTGTGCTTTATGCCAAAGTAAATTGGTCATCTTTACAAGCTCGTCGCCTCACTCACTGGTATATGTTCATTTACAAAGCCATTTTGGGTAAACTTCCTTCCTATTTATCATCATTCCTGATCTGGAAGCAAGGAAATCGTAATCTTCTTGGACTTTCTAAATCTGGTTGTTCTTAAAGTAAGAACTGAACTGGGAAAGAAAGCCTTCAGGTTTTCAGCACCTGACGCATTGAACACACTTCAAGCTGAACTTCGTCTGCAGAACTTAATACCTCTGAAGGAATTTAAAACTCTGGTAAAGACTCTGGAGACTAGGTTGTCTGTATGCAAATGTATGATTTGAGTATGTTTTTATGTAATATTATGTAAGACTATGCACTCGTTTTATGTTTTAATTTTGAACAATGGCAAAAGGGTTTTATGTTTTTCTCATCTCAACATTAATGCGGTCAAGGCGAAACTAAAAAATATATATAGTAGCTTACCAAAGTAATTTACCAAGGTAACTTAATATGCATATAATTCTATTTGATACTGACACACTCACGAAAACATGACATTTCAGCTCTACCGCTTAGAAAATGCTTTATTATACTTTTTGTCTAAAATTGTGAAATATTTACTGTTAATGTCATCCCAATACCTATGTTTAATAGATCTACACAAGATTAATCCGGATGTGCAGACACGTATGAGAGTGAGAGTCTCTAAAGAATTAAATCTTTCGGTTTACATATTTTAAAGTTCACAGTAGCAATGATATCATAGGTTCGGTACGGAGTCTCCTTTAGACTGGGGGATTCGGTCACTAAAGCGTCTATAACTTTTGCTACTCTGTATTCTCCGATCACCAGTGATGATCTAAGAGTGTTCAGTGCACTACAGTATATACAGTATTATTTGGGAAGAGAAAAAAGAACAGAGTGAACGACGGGTAACACTAACACTACATACTCGCATTTCCCCAGTTCATGCCTGGAGGGGCGGGTGTGGTCTTGCAGTTTCGTCACCGATTACGTCACGCAGAACGAACGCAACCGAAACGAGTCACATGACACGCTTAAAGGGGAAGGGCTGCCTTTTGGTGAAATATATTTAATAAACATGGTAAGTAACTGTTATCACACCTCATATATATTATCATCAAGCGTACAGGATCGGCGATGGTTATCAGTACAAATAGCACAAGCTGTGCCCAGCAAACTGGCTTTAAAATGTTCGAAAGGACATGTAATATGGCATGTATGTGGGCCTCTTGGAATAACTGATGTTTTATATTTATGAAAATGTTTGCAGAATTTCTAAAATGTTATATTATTCCATTTTCTTCCTCCTGTTGCTTCTTGAATGAGCATGCTGTTTTGAGATGTACGCCAGACAATAAAGTTGAAATCGCCACCTTCAAATATTGCTGATGCTACCGCTAATGCTATACTGTTGATTCCTACTCTTATTTACAACCTTCGTTCGGTACAGGTGCCATATATAAATATCAACGCCAATTTATAGATAATTCGTGCGTTTGCTTCGTTAGTGCTTTCTAACTAGATTTCATTCAACGTCTTAATGTATTAAGACTTTGGGTTTTAATCGTCTTGGTGTAATTCAGTTATACGGCTGAAAAACGTCTACGTCTAATGGAAAAAGCAAAAACACCTGTCTTAAGTGTACATTTTAATAATGATAATAATTTCAGTCCCGTTATGACTGAAATATAAACACAGCACCAGTGTAAACAACACCGGTAGAGTTAAAGTTATTTAAAACACTTCCGGAGCTGCAATAACGCTTTGGTCTGAGCAAAGGCACAGTTCAGTTACAATTTTTATATATTTTTTACAGTTTCCCTTTCTGTCTTTGCTTAAATCAAGCATTAGCGTCTTTTGTATTCTTTTTAAAATTTATCCGGAACATATGCAAACATATTCTGAGTACGTTTCCAATATGCACCCATGGGATGTTTTAGCCTGCCACACAGCAGTCCATGCAGGATGATCAGGAGAAACTCCTCGATGAGGCTGTCCAGGCTGTGAAGGTCCAGTCCTTTCAGATGAAGCGGTGCCTGGTAGGACCCCTACCTGAGCTTTTTTAATGGAGTGAATGAGTCCTGTACAATGTACCTTTAACTGTGCATTCTTACAGGACTGTATAATCGTTTTCTTACCTTACTGTTCCAGCTGTTCTTAGACACAATTTTCATTGTAGGACAAAAATAAGCTGATGGATGCCCTAAAACATGCGTCCAACACGTTGGGAGAGCTGAGGACTTCCATGCTCTCTCCAAAAAGTTACTATGAACTCTGTATCCTTTAACTGACCTTGGGCAAAAATGCAACATAGGACTGTGTTTCCACAATCAAACAGCATCAAGGATGTCATAATATTTATATCATTGGTGATACTTATCAGGAATGTAGACAGATGTAAATATCATGAAAGATTTATTTTGTGACCACATTTTAGATACAGGCAGTCCCCAGGTGAAGAACGTCTGACTTTTGGACAATTCTCTTAATAGACTGCCATAAAGCTTATTATATTAAAATTTGGGTTAAATACACACACTACTTTGTGATGCACATGAAGATGTTGCATGGCTTCAGCGGTTCATCATCGTCATCATTATTGTTATTGTTATTATTATTATTATTATTATTATTATTATTATTATTGTTCTGAGACCTACAAAATTGATTTAAAGACGGAATTAGGGAATGAATCTCATTTGTAACCTGGGGACTGCCTGTGTTTCATAATAAAAATAGCCAAGGTTGACAAGATCTAACTTTATCACTCCTTGCAGTTAGTAACTGTTTCTAAACACAGTCTCTAACTAATGCATTAATATGAATGGGAGAAAATGAATTATAATAGTGCAATAAGAGGAATAATTATTTTGCTCTTGGTTTCATTTCACTCTTTAAAACATATAATGTTTTATAGTGCTATAGCTGGTCACAGTCAAGGCTGGTCTCTGTCATACACACGAAGGGAAAAAAAAGCCTTAACGTGTTGCAGACATGGCCATCTCTGATGAGCTGCACTACCTGGAGATTTACCTTACAGATGAGTTTGCCAAGGGAAGAAAGGTGGCTGACCTGTATGAGCTGGTTCAGTATGCAGGGAATATCATCCCAAGACTGTGAGTGTCCTGTTATTCACCTCAATAAAGGAATATATTAATGTAAAATTAAAACTTTCTTTTGTTTATAGTTCAGCACAGCTTAACAAAACAGACACTGACACAAAGAACAATGCATTAGTACATTTTCATGATGACAATGTATTGACATTATCCATACATAGAATTTGTCATGTCAATGGAATTCAAAATACTTCAAAACTATTTAAAAAATGTGTAAACAGTACATATTTTACAATTAGTGAAAAATATAAGCTATTTTTGTGTGGTGTTGATCTTTCTTATCTCTACCTCCTTCCGTAGGTATTTGCTAATCACTGTAGGCGTGGTATATGTGAAATCGTTTTCACAGTCCCGGAGAGATATCCTGAAGGATTTAGTAGAAATGTGCCGTGGAGTCCAGCATCCTCTTCGAGGTCTTTTCTTGAGGAACTACCTACTCCAGTGTACCCGGAATGTTCTCCCCGATGACGGAGAGGTTACAGAGTACGCCGTCTTGTGCCGTCTTACTCAGAAACACCTGCTCCATTTCCTGGGTCAAACTATTTATGCTACTGCTGCCCATTTCGGGCAAATTTGTCAAAATATGTGTTTAAAATAAAATTTAAAAAAGTTAATTTGAAAATTAGTTATAGAACATGCAGGATACAAGTACTTAAAGTATATCATTATCCATTGCATAATGTGTGGAGATGTTGTTTACAGATTGTATTTATTTCCTTTGTCAGAGAGGGGACGACTGGGGACATCAACGACTCTGTAGACTTTGTGTTGCTGAACTTTGCGGAGATGAACAAACTGTGGGTTCGCATGCAGCATCAGGGCCATAGCCGGGACCGGGAGAAGCGAGAGAAAGAGAGACAGGAGCTGCGCATCCTGGTGGGGACCAACTTAGTGCGCCTCAGTCAGCTGGAGGGTGTCAACGTGGACAAGTACACCCAGGTTTGTATGTTTAGTACTGCTGTTACCATGCAGGAGTGTTTTAAGCCTTCGAGTTAATGTCCTTCTGCAGATCATGCATAAAATTACATTTGGTAGTGCTTCACATTAATTACACCTTCATAATACTTTTATAATGCATTTATATAACATTCTGTGCACCTTCATAATGCATTGATTATACTTATACATTATACATTCATTATATATATTCATAGAACATTTACTGTAGAAGCAATATACAAGTATAATATTTGTTGTTAATGCATATGCATATAATAGCCATTAAGGTATGTTAGGATGTTAAGGTATACTTACATTCTACTCATGAATGTTATAGGAATGCATAATGAATGCATTATGAAGGTGTAGTTAATGTTAAGCTTTACCTAACATTTTATCCATGTCTGGACATATGTTATTTCATGCTAAGGTTTTGTCCTGTCACCACTCAGGTTGTGCTGCCTGGAATTCTAGATCAGGCGGTCAACTGCCGAGATTCCCTAGCGCAGGAGTACCTGATGGAATGTATCATCCAGGTAAGCATTAATCCATAAAATGCAACCAGGAACGTTTCTTTTTGCCTTTGTAAAGCAATGTTTCGCAACTCAGTCCTCTGGGACCCAGAGATGGTGCGTGTTTTTGCTCACTACCAAAACTCCGGTTTGCTCCGGCAAAAATGAGGATTGTCTGGGGGTCCTCAGGGACCGGTTTGAGAAACACTTTTGTAAAAATCATCATAAGAAACAAAAGTTCTTCATGGGCTTATGTGTTGATCCATATTGCTGAACTTGTGGCACATCAGCATCTATTTTTTTTCATATTTTTAGGTGTTCCCGGATGAGTTCCACCTTCAGACATTAAACTCATTTCTACGTGCTTGTGCAGAATTGCACCAAAATGTGAATGTGAAGAACATTATTATTGCTCTTATTGATAGGTATTGTATACTTAACTCACTTTTTGGCTAAATAATTTTTCACGAAAAATTCAATACTGACAAAACTCCCGTTCTACCCCAGGCTGGCCTTATTTGCTCATAGAGAGGATGGTCCTGGAATTCCAGCAGATATTAAATTATTTGATGTATTTTCACAACAAGTGGCATCAGTTATACAGGTGAGTAGTCTCCATTTCAGCATGGGAATAGTTGGCAATGAGGCGTGGTGCAGTGGATAGCACTGCTTCCTCATACCTCTGGGACCATAGTTTGAGTCTCGGTCCTGGCTCCATGTGTGCAGTTTGCATGACTCTTCCTGTCTTGTCATGGGGTTTTCTTTGGGTACTCTGGCTTCCCCCCACAGTCCAAAAAGATGGTAATATGAATTGGAGTTATGGAATTGTCCATAGGTGTGCATGTGTGAGTGAATGGTGAGTGTGCCCTGTGATGTGTTGGTGCCCCACCCTGGGATTATCCTGTACCTTGTGCCCATACCCTCCTGGATAAGCTCTGGACCCCCTACAACCCTGAAAAGGAGAAGTAGGTGTAGAAGATAGGTGGGTGGAAGGAAGAATATAGTTCATTGTTTACAACATACATATCAAGAGTGGAGCTATCTTAATTGTTAGACTAATAGTCTAATAGTGGGCAGTGGTGGCTTAATGGTTAGGGAAGCACACTTGTAACTGAAAGATTGCAGGTTGGAATCCCCGACCAGCAAGGCACCACTGAGGTACCTGGACCAAAGTACCGTCCCCAAGCACTGCTCCCCGGGTGCTGAATTAGCTGCCCCATGCTATGTCACGATATCACATATGGGTTAAATGCAGAGGACACATTTCGTTGTTGTGTGCTGTGGTGTGTCAACAATGACCACTGATCACCAAGTTCTAAATTCTTTGTTGTTCATGCTTTTTCTTCATTGCCTAGTCTCGCCAGGAGATGCCTTCCGAGGACGTGGTGTCCTTGCAGGTGTCCCTCATCAACCTAGCCATGAAGTGTTACCCTGACAGAATAGATTATGTGGACAAAGTTCTGGAGACCACATTGGAGATTTTCAACAAAATGAATCTGGAACAGTAAGTGCACCACCTTCAGATATCACTTTGGCTCTTTTTCATATGTCTCTTAAGTGCTTCAGTGTAAGATCAGAGGAGCTGGACACAGCAGATATGCTGAGGAACTGATTGTGTCCATGTGTTTAGCTGGTTCCAGATTGTAAGATAAATGTGATCACCTCAGATAATTTCATTTAGTATCAACCTGGTACAGTAGAAACCTTGTGCAGTGCTGCCAGTGAAACTGTTCAATTTATTTCTAGTGTTCTCCACTGAACTATATTCTTCTTGAATATCTCCTGCTAAAGGAAATGAAGGATTTCTGTGCTTAGTAATGCAAAGAAAAATTAATTAAAGTAAGTCAAAAGTAATCTATTACCCCAGACTTTCAAGAAACAGGTCTTGTTTTGTTTTGAAGTATGGCCACAAGCAGTGCAGTGTCCAAGGAGCTTATGAGATTGCTGAAGATCCCTGTGGACATCTACAACAATATCCTGACTGTGCTTCAGCTCCAGCACTTTCACCCACTCTTTGAGTACTTTGACTATGAATCCCGAAAGATCATGAGTTCCTACATGCTCGGCAACACCTTGGACAACAATACGGTGATCAAAGCCCAGGAACAGGTGAAATCTTGCATTATTTGGCAATAGGAATGTTCACCTCCTACTAGCACATATAGGAGGCTTTTTATTAATGCTGGTTAACTTTAAAAAGTAACATAAATCCAGTACTATAGACCATTACTGTTAAAATAATTTTGAAATAATGATACTTGAGTCACTGGTGATGATCTAGTGTCCCCGCTGATGTTTAGGAACATATTCCATAAAATAATAGAAAAGAAATACAAGCCATTTATGAAGATTTCATAGAGCCTTGCATGAATATTTCAGTTTTCCATGCTTTTTCTTTTGCAACCATTTTGTTTTAGTGACCTTCAAGTGTTGTAAAAGTACAGAATGTTACTCTCATAGCTCTGAATGGTTCTGATGACAGTTTGATGTTTTAGCTCCCTGGTCATTTTTATTGTACTTCCAACAGCTTCTGGGTTTTATTTGTTCCCCTTTGGTGGGTCATGAATTGCGATTAAATGAGTGTTCTCTGTTACATGGGTTGCACGGTGGCTCAGTGGGTCTCAGCGTGACGGTGGGGGTTTGAATTCTGCCTCTCTTCTGTGTGCGGAGGGTCCATGTTCTTCCTGTGTCATGAGTGTATCCTCCAGTTTTGTTTCACAGACCAAAGATGTAACCAGGCTCATTGGTCAGTGTAAAATGTATGTAATCTGGGGTCTGGCTGTACCTCAGCCTTGGTGGCTGAGTTTCAGGAGAACGTTGTTTGTCATAAGTTGTTGATTTTTATGCGAAGTGGACAACCCCAAAATCTTCTGAGAGACAATTTATTTTGGGGTTTAGGCTACTGACGTGTATGCATTTCATGATACATTTGCTCTGTCTTCTATGACAGAATATGACCCCAATAGCAATTTTCAAATACAATTACAACCAGTCTACATGAGCAGAACAATTAATAAACCTCACCAGAAGGACTGACATTTAAGTGTTTCTTCTGGTTGTAGTCATTGATTTTTTTCTACATTTAATTTAAATGCGATCAAATTCAGCTGTAATATTTTATGTGGCAAGTGTAAATTCTCTTGGGTAGTCCATGATACAGTTCGGTAAATTACGTATGCATTCCATTCATCCGTCTTACAACTGTTTGTTCTGGTCAGGGTTATGGAGCCAAAATAACAAATTTAACAAATGTGAGTTTACTTTTGCTGTGCACATGGGTAAGATGCATTTATGAATGTTTGAAATAAAGGTAAAATTGTGTTTAGGCTTGGAGCATGATTTGTTTCACATATGGAAATGTGTAAATCACCTCACTAAACAGATTAAAACACAAATCAATGCGGATTCCAATTTTTCTCTCTATTTAGGTAGATGCAGTATTAAAGCTGGTGTCAACACTGATCCAAGACCAACCTGATCAGCCTTCAGAGGACCCAGATCCTGAGGACTTTGCTGAAGAACAGAATCTGGTTGGGCGGTTTATTCACATGCTTCATTCTGAGGATCCAGATCAGCAGTATATGGTAAGCCAAGAATGACTAGACCGATTATTGCCTTCATAGGGAAAATATATAATATGTAACTTAATATAGTCAAGCAGTCTTTTCAACTTTGTATGTTATACATAAAGTGAAATGTAATCTAAAGCATCCATGAAAAGACATGTCTTTGCAAAGATTCTTTTGCAAAGTTTACTTTTGCATTGGTCTTTTATTGCCTCATTAATGACTGGTAGTGATTCTGAGGAAGGTGATGATTATTACTGAGGCTATTGTTATTGTTAATACTGCAATTATTTTAATTCTTTCCTTATGTATATTTTTTCAAGATTTTAAATACTGCCAGGAAACACTTTGGGGCAGGAGGGAACCAGAGGATTCGATTCACGCTTCCGCCTCTGGTGTTTGCTGCATATCAGCTTGCCTTCCGTTACAAAGAGAGTTCCAGTGTGGTATGAGTTAAAGTCTTTGTGTCATTTTCTTTCTTTTTAATGATCCCACATCTGAATCATCTTTGAAACCAAGATAGAACACCTTTGAATGAGCTACAGTGTAGTAGAGTGTCTATTCTGATGTTATTTAAAAATTGTAGCTCAACAAAACTGACAGAATGTTAAACAGCTCTTTACGTGAATGATTTTGGTGTAGGTTCGACAGTCTGATGTTAAGAACCTAATGATGTCTGGAGTGTATAAATATAATAATAACAATCGATACTTTATTGATCCCCATGGGGAAATTGTCTTTACGCCTCCCTCAACTTGCTCTTTGTAGAGTAAGTTGTCCGCAAAGGGCAGCCACCCGTAGTGGCGCCCAGGGAGCTGGGGGTTAAGGGCCTTACTCAAGGACCCACAGACATGCTGAGGCTGGGTTTGAACCGGTGACCTTCTGATCACAGGCACACAGGCTGACATTTGAACTTTTACAATAGTTTGATGTACTGTTTGCCTCACGTATGTGTCACTTTAGACAAAAGTATCTGCTAAATAAAATAAATGTAAATGTAACTTAAGCCTTTCAGCTGTACAACAAGTACTTCTATCTCAAGGCTTCTGAAAAAAAAATGATCTGAAGCACATTTATCAGTCCAACATATTCAGCTTTTTTAAGGTTATCATTACTGAAGAAGAACCCTTTTAGTTTGTTTCTCATTTTGATTACAAAAAAATCAGGGAGAGCCATCCCTTGCTTGTATGTCATAATAGAGGAGTTGCTACATGAGAGACATGCACTGAAAAATTATTTGTCCCAGAACAGACATTCAACACCGCTGGCTCCGCTCTGTAAATTATGACATGCTGTCTGGTAAATCTCCTCGTCTGCTTTCAGGATGAAAAGTGGGAGAAGAAGTGTCAGAAGATTTTCTCCTTTGCCCACCAGACCATCAGTGCTCTGATCAAAGCTGAGCTGGCGGAGCTGCCACTCAGGCTCTTTCTCCAGGGAGCCCTGGCAGCTGGCGAAATTGGTTTTGAGAACCACGAGACGGTGGCTTATGAGTTCATGTCACAGGTACTGCATACCTGGGAGGAAATTCGGGCTGATGGCACTTTACATCCAATCAGAGACATCAGCATGAAAAAGCTTGTGTTGTTTCTCGCCTTAAGGCGTTTTCCCTGTACGAGGATGAGATCAGTGACTCCAAGGCCCAGCTGTCGGCCATCACCCTAATCATCGGCACCTTCGAAAGGAGCAAGTGCTTCAGCGAGGAGAATCACGAGCCGCTGAGGACGCAGTGTGCGCTGGCTGCGTCCAAGCTGCTAAAGAAAGCAGATCAGTGCCGGGCTGTTGGCACCTGTGCCCAGCTCTTCTGGTCGGGACGCAGCAGTGACAAGAATGGAGAGGAGGTGAGTGAAGGAGCATCAGTCTGATCTCTGAATCCTAATTGGTAATCTCTCTAATATTCATCCATCTTTTATAACCACTTATCCAATAAGATTAACGGTGAGCCTTGGATCTCAGGAAGCACAGGGCATGAGGTGGAACACACCTTGGATGGGATGCCAGTTCCTCACAGGATACACCCTAGTGCACACACCGAGAGTGATCTGGAAGCATTGATTTACCGAACAGCATGAACTATGGGAAATATCCTGAGAACCGTGGAAGAGAGCACACACACACGCACGCACACACACACACAGCAGAGAGCTGAAACTCAACCCAGGACCCTACATGGTGCCACCGAGCCACTGTGGCACTATGACTCTACTCTATAATTTATGATACAAAGTTGTATTCCTTGTGCCTTGTCTTCTTGTGTTATATTAGGCTGTAATATGTAAAATTTTAATGCAGGTCACCTGTAATGACCTTAATGATATTTTAGTCTGATTACTACAGCCAAAACTGCATGTGTTATTCTAAAATGGAAAGTAGAGGATGGGGTGGCTTAAATTAATTAGAGGGTTATGTGTCAAATTAATAAATAATCCATAGTACAAGTAATGTGTTATAAATTCTGATGTGTATGCATACTGCTTTCTCTTTGGTGTGTGAATTTCTTGTGTTTGCTAAATGTATTATGCTCATAGCACATAAACAGCAATGAATCATGCATGCAATCTGTGTTTGCAAAATGAATTCTGAATGGCATGAACTATTTTTATGAACCTATGTAACTTAGTTGTAGACATGATTTTCGGAGAATATTTTCCACTCCATCTCAGTTTACTCTTTTCTCTCTGTGTTTTGTTGCCATGGCATGCTTTTTTTTCAGATCCAAGATGAGAAGAGGGTGATGGAGTGCTTAAAGAAGGCTCTGAAAATTGCTAACCAGTGTATGGATTCCTCTTTGCAAGTGCAGCTCTTCATTGAGATCCTCAATAGATACATCTATTTCCATGAAAAGCAAAATGAAGCGGTAGGCTATTATTTCCCGTTAATGTGACTCACATGTACATTGTTGGATGTTTTAAATATGTCCTATCTATTTCAAATATATTGACAATTCTCAAAACCTTTACTAATAGTGCATTTGTGGTTAGTGCAGTCCATGTATTTCATTATTTCAAATGGGTTTTTAAAAGAATTCAAGATTATAGGAGTAACACTCATCCCTGAAAGTACACTCTTAAAAATTTGCTTTTCATTTGTCTTTCAAAGTGTTTTCTTTTCTGCTAAAAAAATTAAAAAGATACACATTCCTTCACCCTGCGGTAAAAGATGACCAGGTTACCCACAACCTTGGAGTTGAAGCATGGAGTTTTGAAAATAAGCTTAACTCTTATCACTGTGCATGTGTGCGTCTGCTCCTTTCCCCTTAGGTGACAGTTCAGGTTCTAAATCAGCTCATTCAGAAGGTCCAAGACGATCTGCCCAACCTGGAGGCATGTGAGGAGGCAGAGTTGATAAAAAAGCACTTCCACAACACGCTAGAGCACCTACGTGTTCGCAAGGAGTCCTCTGAAGCCGATGGCGCAGCTTATGATGGGCTGCTGTTGTAGAGGACACTGCGCAGACCTTAATCCCCCTGCCTGCATTACACTATTGTGTTCATATTTTTTAAAAATGCTTGTTTTTCCCACTAGCTGTGTATGATTTTTGCCTTTTTAATGTCAGACAATTTCTCTGAGTCAATTTTCGGTGCAGTTCAGCTCAGTTCAGTTCTACTAATATCATATACATATGCTCCTCACTTTATGATGGTTTGACATATGACATTTCCACTTTATGATGGCGTCAGGCTATTAATTTTGATCTTTTCCTGGCTAGCGATATCCTGTATGATGCTTTCTGCTAATGCTGGCCTGTAGCAGCATCCATCCAGCCACACTTCCAGTCTCTCTTGGGATCAGAAGTGTAAACGTTGAATATAATGTTTAGCTCTAATGTCCAAGTGTGTCATATTCATATCATATCCATATTTGATTTACGATATCTCCGGCTCATGATGGGTTCATCGGAGTGTAGCCCCATCGTAAATCGAGGAGCGTCTGTAGTGCCCATCCCAATGTGGTTACCTCAGCCGGCGAACAAAGTGATATTGCAGCAGCAGAACACATACATGGTAAAATTCTAAAAGTATGGATAAAAAAGAAGTAAACAAGAGCTTCTGTTGTAAATCGAAGAATTAAAGTTCTCTGCGGTTCCGGGCCATCTCACTGCCCAGTCCACTGGTCACAGTTTATTCCCTGGTTCTTTCTCCTATTACTTTGAGTGAAACAATTTGGCCCATGAAGCTCAGGGTACAGTTTCCTTTAAGCTTAGGTGAGCCCAGGGCACGGCCTTATTCTCACTCAGCCGCTTTGTGCTGGTAACTTTCAGTATCTCTTGCAGGGAATCCTGGGAATAAGTGTGTATAGTGTCCTTGTATTCCTGGTGTACGCTATATGTAGGGGTGTGTCTCTGACAATCTGCTGGGGCCAGTGGCTAATTCATTCATCTTTCACAGAGGCTGCAACATTTTTTTTGTCTTTGACTTTATATTTTTTTAATCTGCATGTGTCATTTCAGTTAGAAGTATGTATGACTATTTGAAATGTCTTTACACTTGGAGGAAGTTTATTCTTTGTCTTCACGTAACATTTCTGTTAAAGGAAACTTTTATGGCTGCCTTTATTTTGATATTAGTTATCACTGAATGTTCAAACCCCACCATTGAAACTTTAAACATCTAGATTATTATTAGAAAAAATATTGTATTTTTAACATTAAATTATATCATTGTCATTTTCTTTGACTAATACAGATATGTGTATTGATAAAATCTATATTATATTGACATTAATATTTCTCATTTTGTGTCTTCTGATTTAGATTTCAGAGAAGGATTTCTTAACACCAAAATAAACTTCACAGCTTCTAGAAGGAAATTCAGGATAGTTTTAGAATTAAATCAGCTAAAGCATGTAAGTTAGGAACGTCTGCTTGCGTGAAGGAAGACTGGCACCAGAATGTATCTCTGTATCATGTGCTCGGAGCAAGTGGCTTTTCTACGTGTAGTTTAAGGCTTTTTTTTGTCACTGGCAGCATAAATGTATTTTAGCATATATATATATATATATTTGTGTGTGTGTGTGTGTGTATGTGTGTGTGTATATATATATATATATATATATATATATATATATATATAATACACACACACACAGCCACAGAAAAATTGAGACCACAGCACAGTATATTGTTTCACTCATTTCTCAATTTATGGTTGTGTGTCTGTAAATAATATATATTTTTCTTGCAAACTGCAACCTGCTTCTTCTCTGCTTCTCATTGACAAAGGGCTTCTTCCTTTATAGGACTTAAGTCCTGCGTCTAGGGGCCTGATACGACCTGTCCAAGCAGTGCACTTCATACCTGCACTTAATGTTTCCCATTCCTTTTGAAGGTCATTGATGTCATCCTCCGATTCATGAGAAATTCTTGTATCTCTGACTATATATATATATATACACACACACACACACACACCCAGGAAGAAAACAATGTATGGAGTGGCTAACATCTTTAACATAAACTTAAAAAACTAAAATCGTTAGTGGACGCTAGCCACCAGATGGCAGTATCTACAAGATAGGATTAAAAACCTTGTTACCCTGATACACGAGAAACATATGCATACAAGGAAGTTCACAGGAGTCAGACACATTAAAAAAAGAACTAAATAGGCCTGAATGGTCAGGTATATTTTCTACCTTCCCCCAAAGAAATACTTCTCTTTATCCCTCAGAATCAGAATCTTTCAAGTAAAAGCTAAAAATCATAAATGTTGATATTGGAAAAATCTATAGTCATTGCATGTCCATGCACTCAGTGGCCAGTTTATTAGATTAGTATGTAGTACTGGATAGTACTGACTAGTAGCTCTAGAACCACTGCAAGGGTTTTACTGAGCTGTAACATTCTACCTGTGTCCTTCCTGTTACCTTCAACAAGTCAGTCTATTATTCTCTTACCTCTCTCATTAGCAAGGTGTTTTGGCCACAGAAATGCAATTCACTGGATAATTTTGTACATCATTGTCTGTAAACTTTAAACTTTACTACACAGAAATCCTTGAAGGGTGACTCTTTCTGAGATCCTGGAACCATCAGATGTAGTACCAGTAATAACACCATGTTTAATATCACTTGGATCAAGCATCTTTGCCTTTAGCTTAGTCAAAGTGTAACTGTTGCTTCTTCACATGGTGTAAATTGCAGCCTTGTGATTTGCTATTTGGAGGAGCAGGCTGGGGGGGGGGACTTACAGTACTGGTGGCTGCTGTATGAAAAGGTCCAATGGCATGTCAGACTACCTCAAAGGAAAAGGTCCAATGAGAACAGTGTGGCATACCCAAGAGTGCAGATGTGTGAGCAAATGGAGTTCCTGGATTATAAACTGGGAATGATGGGCCCAGTTTCTCCCCAAGGCTGGAAATGAGTCCCAGACCAGGTCTTGCCAGTTGTTTTCACAGATCCGAAGGGCAGGTGTAAATGCACAAAAACACCAAGAAATCCCAATGTGATCGAATGTGAAGAGACCGTTCCAATGCAGACAAATTCACACTGCGATTGTAAACATGTTATTTCCTTAACCAAAGAGTTTCCTACCAAAACCAAAAAGAGTGAAACAAAATCAGCAAAATCATCAGGGCATAGGAACCAGGGTGGACGAGGGGGGCGGGCATGTACGCCCCAGTATTTAATTAGGCTTCTTTCATCCCCCCCACTCCAAAAAAACAGACCATTACCATTTATTATTTATTAAGTAGTGCCCCCTCCCCCCAATATCAAACTCTCTCCTAGTCCCTTACCTGGGACACCATGTAGAAACGCAACCACACCCTGTCTCTTCTGTGATTCCGTGTAGAAAACAAAATAATCCATATTTAGCTTTTATTATTTTGGTATCGGGTCCGGCATGGGTGGCCATGTATTCGCTACCCCTTAGGTCTGCCCCTGGCAGTTATGGCAAATGCAGGGTGGTTGTGAATCTCTGTTTCTCTTTCAAGCACCTTGTTTTTGTTCTCTGAAAGTAGCTGGAATAGATTTTCAAGGACCTGCTAGGCTATAGTTGTATTTCATAAGTGGAAAACAAAACATATTCAGTTAAGGAGGCCGAAAACATTTTTGTCAATTATTTCACTGCCAAAATGAATATATAGATTATAAATTAAGAATTAAGCTATGAAATGTTCAGCAAGCAGCAGTGATTTTGGCACTTTATTCAGGGATGAACAAGCACTTTGCATAGTACCTTTATTACCAAGGCATTTCAGTTTAAGCCAAAACTAACATTACTTTGACAGGACTGAAGGTATTCATAAGAACATAAGAACATCTATATAAACACTGAAGATGCCGTAGTTCTCCATTTTTGAATATCACACTGCTTGGCCCTTACCATGCTGTGTTACGATCCAGTCTAGGGTTGGACCGCAACAAAGTGAAAGGGAAGGAGGGATTGGGGAGGACAGGACGACTAGGGCTAGGAGAAGGGAACACGGGACACAGAGGGAGTCTTTTTTT